TGGAAGTCTTTGGTCTTGTCTCATTGGACTTGAACGCTCACTCTCTGACTCTTCTTATCCCCCATTCCATCTTCTGGTGGGCACTGTTCTACTTCCTTCCCTCGGATCAACATTTTCAGCTTCCACCAGTGAGCACTCAGATTTGGTACTTGTCTGCTTTATGCCTGATTTACATCGTTTAAAATAATGGTCTCCAGTTCCATCAATATGATCAAAAGGGATAGAACACATTTCCTGCAGCTAAATAACCTTCCATTGTGTGTATTCCATTCATTCATTCTTTCTTTCCTTCATGGGTTGGTAACTGGTTGATTTCACACCTCGGCTGTGTCCAGTGCTAGAATAAACATGGTATTATACATATTTTATATAACAGTTTCATTTTCTTTGGAAAACCAGCATTGGGATGACAGGGTAATACAGAGTTCTACTTTAGTTTGTGAGGCACTTCCCTAGTGGTGTCTACAGTGGCTAAACTGATTTACATTATCCTCAGCTGGATATGTGATTGGCTCTCCTTTCCGCTCATCCTTGACAACATTTCTATCTTTTTTGCTAATGACCCTTCTAACCAGGGTCATTTCTCATCCTGGTTGTGATTTGCATATCTGGTGACTGGTGATGTTATGCACTCTTTCCAACACTTGTTAGCCATGGCTTTGTTTGAGAAATGTCAGTTCAGAAGAAAATGATCATCTCTCTAGAGGCACATACTAAAATCTGGCATTTGTCTTAAAACGCTATCCCAAAGAGTTAAAAAAAGAAAGCAACTGAAGTCAGTGTAGCTTGTGACAGTTGCTGCCACTTATGGATGGGCATAGGAGGGCTTGGCACTCTGGCATCTGTATTGTAACACATACTTGAAGTTTTTATTTTTTTATTGTCATGTAATGACGTTTCTCCCCTTCCTGCCTTCCCTTCAAACCCTCCTCACTCTCCTTCAGATCTGTTGCCCCTCTTTCATTAATTGTTATTTCATACATATATGTATGTGTGTGTCTATACATATATACGCACATATTCTTGTTGCTTCATTTTTGTTTGTTGTTGCTTTTCAGGACAGGGTTTCTCTGTGTAGCCTTGGCTGTCCTGGAGCTCCCTGTGTAGATTAGGCTGGCCTCAAACTCACAGAAATACACCAGCCTCCCAAGTACCTGGCTTAAAGGCACACACGACCACCGCCACCTGGCATATGTATTCTTAAATATTACCTACTCTGCATGTAATGTCACTTGCATGTTTGTCTGCAGGATGACCATTTGGCAGAGGCAGCCAGCTGTTGTGCTCTTCTCTGAGGAAGCCCACTTGGCACCAGCCCAGCTTCCCTCCATTGCATGTGGTTCTTTGCTAGAGTTGAGGCCTCATGGGATTTTCATGGGATTTTTACTTTGTCATGTCCATATGCCCAAACATGAGCTGATATTTTACTATTTGAAAACAAAACAAAACAAAAACTTTCCAGGGCGTAAGGAGTGGCTCAGTGGGTAAGAGCACCAGGCTCTAGCAGAGGACCCAGATGTGGTTCCCAGCACCCACATAGTAGCCCATGACCACCAGTAACTCCAGTTCCTGGGGATCTTATACCCTTTTTATGTTCTGCAGGCACCAGGCACCCACATGGTACACATACACACACACACACGCAAAATCTCATCCACAAATCAACTTTCCTTGATAAGTACATGCAGATATCTTATGGCCTGAGGCAAAAATAAACAAACAAAACAAAACATAATTACATTAGGTCCTAACCATTTTAATGTGCTGTTTTGTTTGTTTGGATTAGTGGATGGGGAGATCGTGTTTGGTTTGGCAATGTTGGGATGGACCCTACGGCTTTGGTTTCCTAAGTAGCTACCATTGAGCTGTACCCACCCGGCCTGAAAAGGGCATTTTTAAAGAAGCCATACATTAAATAAAACAGTATATGGTCAAAAGATCAGAGCTTTATAGTCAGAGCTCTTATTTTGAAGCAGTTCTCCATTGCTTGGCTTCTCTTTGACCCTGGTATCTTTCCAACCCCTGTGAGCTTCCGTCTAAATGCCCTGTTCCACGCACACACTTAGCAAAGGCAACAACATCCTGTTTCCTTTTCTTTTTTTTTTAATTTTATTTTTCTTTTTAGTTACATTTTGTTAACTCTGTGTCCCAGCTGTATCCCGCTCCCTCATTCCCTCCCCAACCCCACACTCCCTCCCTGGTCTCCTCCCTGCCCCTTTCCAAGTCCACTGATAGGGGAGGAGGCTCCCCTTTCATTTGACCCTGTTTTATCAGGCCTGTTTCCTTTTCAAACTCCCAAGTTTCACACACATGGGAAGCGTGAAGCCCAGCTCTGCTGACAGTGGCCCTCACAGTCCAAAGCTCCAAGGTTCCTGAGTACCAGATGTCTCCAACATCAGAGGTGTGTTGCCTAGTCATGCCCACACAGTGTCACCCCTGAGCATCTTCTTGTCCGGCTATGCTGGCCCTAGGCGGTTTCTGCAGCATACTGGAGGCACATGCTTCAAGCCCAGAATTAAATCCCTCTTGGTTTTCACATGCCTCCTCTGCATGGCTAGTAAAAGCCTAGCGCAACATGAGGAGTTAGCTGGTGCATGGTGCACCAGAAAGAGCCCTTTCTATGCAGCCTGATACGGCGCAATGTGACAGGAGCTTGCTTAGAATTTTGAGACAGATTCATAAACAAGATAACTGCCTTCTTCAAGACACTTCAGCAGGTTATAGGCCACATAGCCGACTGAGCCCAAGCCACTAAAGAAGCTTAGGCTGAGATTTACTTCGGCCAAAGGCAAGCTCAGTCATGCCACTCATCTAGTTGTACTAGATGAGGTGTGGATTTTAGTAGGACACATGCACGTGTGCACACACACACACACACACACACACGCACGCACGCACACATGCACACCTTATTCAGTTCCAAGCTTTTCTTTGGTGTGTGCCTTGGGGAAAGAAACAGGGAGTGGTGGAATATTTATTCACTTACCGTAGTTTACAGGACTCAGGATGCCATCAATTACAAAACACTGCCTAATTTAAGGCATTTAAAAATGTAAAGATGCAAACACCATCACTGTAGTGTCAGTAGGTGTTCTGGCTGCTGGTGGAGTGAGCAATGGGTGTCTGGATTCTGACAGAGCTGGCCCCACCATTCCTCACCTTGGTGGCCTTGGGCGCATTGCTTCCCCTGTGTAAAGCCGAAGCTCCTCTAAAATATCCAGATCCACAGAGCGGCCTGGGAAACAGTATCGACCCAGGAAGCTTGATTATTTTTTCTTTAAGGTTTCTATCCAGTGAAATAAAATCCCCAAACTGACCATTTTCCTATTTCCTTCAGTAGTTCATGTTTCTCTTCAGTCAAATAACTGGATATGAAAATCTAACCCTGTTAGAAAAGGTCTATCTGTTGTGCTTGCCTTGGATAACTCTGAGGGGTTTGTTTTTACTGTTTGATAGGAGTGTGTGTGTGTGTGTGTGTGTACGTGTGTGGTGTGGTGTGTGAGTGTGGTGTGATTAGCTTGTGAAGTAAGCCTAAAACCTTGTTGAAGTATGGCCAGTTTCTGGAGGGCATCCAATCAACCTTAATAAAAATAGCATCCCCCTCACAGCATAGACGAATGCAAAGTGCTGGATGAAGAAACGCAGTGTTTATTCCATGGCGGAATGGTTGACACTAGTTTCTGTTGTCCACTCCTGTTCCAGGGCTCAGACCAACCTTTAGTACTCAGTAAGGGGCTCGAGAAGCATGCAGTCGGTGCATACACGTTTTTTACACATGGTTTGCTCTTTTCACCTCAGACTGCCTCTTGCAGGTGACCAGAAGAGTGAGGCTGGGGGAAGCTGTCTGGAGCTATGCGCGTGGGTGTCAGCTGGAGCGTGGGAGGATTAGACAATCTTGAGCTAACAACCCTGGGGAAGTTGTGCACAAACAGTCACACCCAAGTAGTGTTGGTGCTCGGGATGCAGGGAGGTGCTTTAGAAAGCGGGATGCAGGGAGGTGCTT